TATACACCAGGCAATGCTATTGCAGGCAATCTGTGGTTACTTTGATCTTCAGGCAACACTGTTGCCTAGAATAGAAACCTGTTCTACTCTAGGCAACACATTGCTTACAACATCAAAGTAACCACAGATTGCCTGCAATAGCATTGCCTGGTGCATAGTGGCCTTTATTTTACTTGAACTAAAGTGTAGATGCTATAACAGTATATACAGTATACTGTATAGCGAAAAAATTTTGTGGATTTTGAGTTTTTTCAAAATCCACGAAAATAAAATTCGTGAAAATTGATATAATATGGTTCAAAATGGCTGAAAAGTAGAAAACCACTAAGATTAAAGCCACGAAATTGATTTTTGAACGGATCCACGAAATTTTTAGGCCACAAAAATTTTCCACCATACGGTACACTGTGCAGTAATATACAAATTATTATCCTTTTCCTTTTGTCTTTATTGTTAGGATACGTGGTACTAATTATCCCAGTCCTCATGGCATCCCCATTGATCTATTGGACCGATTATTAATAATATCAACAAAGCCTTACACTGAGAAAGAAATAAAGCAAATACTGACCATCAGGTTTGTATAATATTGTTTATATTGTTTTGTTTCTTTATATCGTTTGTTATCGTATGGTTGGTAAATTTCGTGGGGTATTAGTTTTCGTTAATTTTGTGGTTAATTTTTATCCACTAAATTTTAACCCCTACCCATTCACACATAAAAACTAATTAACGGACCATGCAGAGCTCTAACTACCATTTCCAAGCCAGTGGAGGAGCCAAAGTCTTTGTCTATTACTCCTTATTCCACTATAAGCCATGTGTTGGAAGCTAGTCCAGTAGATGCAAGTGAAAAGAAGTTTGCTAACTGCCATCCACAAATATTTATACCGATAAATATTAGCTTCTAAGGACATTTTGGAGAAAACACGAAATTTTGGACCCTCGAATATTACCAACCGTACGGTATTATTGTTATTATTGTTGTATAGTTTTTGTCAAGTCATTTCTTCTGCTAATGTCTATATCAGGTTTTACAGTTACCAAAAATGTTAGAAATGTACAAATTTCTTTTCCAAAAATGAGGACACCACAGTACAGTGGAACCTCTCTTTACTGACCTCTATAGCATTGAGTCTAGACAGGAAGTTGTTTCATTAGTTGTCATAGCTACCGCAATGAATACACTTAACAATTAGTGAGCCCCACTAGCAACTTTTCTGTTAGGACAGTATAAAAGAGCTGTTTTTACAGGAGAATGTTTAAATTAACGATGAACTGTTTGATAAAAATTTTTGAATGGGGTCAGTGCCCCTGTACTTCTACTACAATGCATGATACTGTAGTCTGTAAGTATTATTAATAAAAACTTATTACTTTATAGCTGGACACTGTGGGGGCTTAACGTTTTCTGTTTTTGTGGTTTATTTGGGAGCTTGGGATTTGCATAAAATCCACAAAAATACAGTACAAGATGGTGGAATGGGTGTGAAAATTTAATCTCTTGAAAGTTTCCAGCTATACAGTACTTCTGCATGCTCCCCCTGGCCTTGTTTTATTATCAAAATGATCCCTAGTCTATTGATCAACTAGTCCACACGATCATATCAGGTTTATGTGAGTTTTTTTCGTGGCAGGTGTGAGGAAGAGGATGTTGAAATGAGTGAGGAAGCTCTTGAGATACTAACACGTATAGGCATGGAGACCTCACTCCGATACTCCATTCAACTGATAACAGCTGCTAGCCTTGCTTGTAGGAAGAGAAAGGTATATACACCAGTTCTTATTTTTAATGTTTTTGGATTTGATTAAAGTGCAGTATTATGCCTACATGTACATTGTATGTGTCATGTTTTTTATATACATTTTTTCTTTCATTTGTCTTCTTTGTCTTTCCTTCTCTCTCTTCCTTTTTCTCCTTTTCCTCCTCGTTTTAAAATACTTTTCTCTCTCCTTTCTCCCCTTTGTTCTTGTCTTCTCACCCCCCCCCCTCTTTCTCTCCCTCTCTCCCTCTCTCTCTCCCTCCCTCTCTCTCTCTCCTCTAGGGTACTGAGGTTGATGTTGATGACATCAAGAGGGTCTACTCTCTATTCCTTGATGAGCACAGATCAACCCAATTCCTTCAAGAGTACCAGGACCAGTTCCTATTCAGTGAAGACACGTCCAAACCCCCAGCTCCGCCTCCTTCCAATGAGCAGATGGAGACAGCTTGAGCTCACTTGACGTGTATCAGTCAGAAAGCTGTAACCTTGTACATAAGCAAAACTGCTAACACATACAGTACACACATACTTGACCATTTTCTTTCTATTTGGATGAGTCACTTACTAATAATTATAAGTGAACTTGTGAATAAGAAAGTAGTGTACAATAGAGTGGGGGGAAGTGGCAAGATTTAATTTGTCAATTCCACTCGATTGTTTGAAAGAATGAAAATGATTTTTTAAATGAATTTGTCTAATTAATCTTAGGGTGTGGCTGGTTAACAAATCTAAAATGTCTCAACTC